GTTTACATGTTGATTGGATCACTGTTTTCTGGTTTAAATTCATGCATAATTGATTATGTGATAATCCGGATCATTGGATAAGTGCTTATGTGCTGAAAATGTTGTTTTGCTGCTGTTTTTCTGTTTCTGGCACAATTTTAACCGATTAACCAACACGAATTTTTAAATTTTCAAGCATTTTTGACTGGTTAATCGATTAACCCCTGGTGTTAATTGATTAACACTGTGCCAGCAGGCCTGTTTTGCTGTTTTTCATGCTTGGTTTGATATCGTTTTACTTCGAATCTTCATAGATCAATATGATGCATTAAGAGTGATATGTTTTGGATATATGTCGTTGTTCTTGATTGTTTAATCATGATTTTATCGACACGCGTGTCCGTTTTCCACTTGAATGCACACTTTCGTAGTTGTTCAAGGTGATGATGTGTTTGCATGTTCATGTTTGCTTGCCTTCTTTCTTCCTTCTTCTTTGCATCTCTCATATGCATGCTTGAGGTTGAGATGTGCTTGTGGTGGTTTTTACCCCACACTTTGTTCCTCCCTCACTTTCATTCTAATTGTGCATTTCATGTTTTCATACTGGCATTTTCTTATGCTTTCTTCTTCTTCTTCTTTTGTGTTCCTTTGCCATGTTCCCTTAGGACCTCTAATCTCCCTTGTTCAAGAGAGATTATGATAGACCTTAGGCTTGAACCCATGCATGATAACATTAGGTAGCATTCCCTTTTATCCCAATCATAGGTGTACTTTGTATGAGAACATTTGGTTGAGTTCAGTCTCCCTTTAGAGTGTCTTTCTCTTCTCATCTTCAACTTTTCTTAAAACATTTAATAAAGGTTAAGGATTGTTGTATGTTACGAGCCTTAAGTACTTGGAAAATGGTTATTGGGGGGCCTCCTCTCAATTATCTAGAGTGTTTAGCGTATGTCCTTTGGACGATATGTGACCATTCACTCCTAGGTCATAGCCTTTAGTGCAACATGAATTACAAACAATAATTAATGCATTTCTTCTCTAAAAAGCAAAAAAACAAACTTCAAACTTTTTATCCTTCGGGATTTAATTTGGAAAACCTTTTTTTTCAGAAAAATAGTGTTGTTAAGCTTTGGTTCTACCGGAAACAGGCATCGTCCCTAACTGCTAGAACAGAGGTTTAACCCTACTCGGGCCTAAAACATTTTGAACCAACCGGTGTTCTTGTTAGCCTGAACTACGTTTGCTCTTATTTCTCATACCAGATGAGAATACGTAGGCACAAGACGGCGATGTCTTGGAGAGCAACCTACCCCCACCTTTCACCCGTAGTTAGCCGAACTACGTTGACTCTGACTTTCCCATTGCACGAGGGAATACGTAGGCATAGAGTGGCGATGCTCTATCGAGTCTCTTTTCTTTTCCTTTGTCCCTGAGCCGTAGCTTAGATAGTAAACATCCTTTTAGATAGACAACAAAGCATGGATCCCGTCGAGTACGACGGACATGAGGGGTGTTAATACCTTCCCCTTGCGTAACTGACTCCCGAACCCGAGATATGGTTGGGATGACCTGTCTTCTCCCTTTTTGTTAGGTTTTCTCTGATCGTTTCCTTTCCCTCTTTTAGGATAAATAACGAATGGTGACGACTCTTCTGTCCTTGTCGGCCCCTCTTCACAGTGATGCGGCACTCTCTCCCCCATAGTAGATCGTTTGATCAAACTGGACAAATAAACCTTTGGTTTTTTCTTGTCTTATTCTGTTATATTATCTGTGTATAAATTATTATTGTTGAAGACCATTTATTTTGGTTTCTATTGTTCTTTTCCTTACAAATTAATATTGAATTTTGTCGTAATTCACAACAAGTGGTGCAATGAGCGTGAAGCAAAGAGATATTTTTAACAAGTGAGCACCATGGTTAGTAGGTGGCAGATTGAGAAATTTTCCGGTAACGACTTCGGGTTGTGGAAAATTAAGACGCAAGCAATTTTAATTCAAGAGAAGTGTATCGATGCTTTGAAGAGTGAAACATTGATGCCTACAGGGCTTACATAGGTACAGAAGACCGAGATGGTGGATAAGGTCAGGAGTATCATTAACTTGTACCTCAGGGATAAAGTTCTAAGAGAAGTCGCCAAGGAACAAACTGCAGTTGCTATGTGGGAAAAAATTGAATCATTGTATATGACAAAGTCTTTGGCTCACAGATTGTATCTGAAACAACAACTTTATTCATTCCGAATGGTGGAGAACAAATCCATAGTTGAGCAGCTCATAGAATTTCACAAGACTATCGATGATCTTGAGAATATTAAAGTGATGATTGATGACGAGGACAAGGCTTTGCTCCTGTTGAGTTCATTACCTAGATCCTTTGAGCACTTTAATGATCCTCTTCTTTATGGTATGGAAGGTACTATTACTTTGGATGAAGTCCAGACGGCAGTGAAATCTAAAGAATTTTCAAAGTCAAAAGATTTGAAGATTGAAGATAGTGGTGAAGGCTTAAATGTGTCAAGAGGAGGAGGTGAGCGTACCGGGATGTCCAAATCAAAGAGGTCTGACAAGTCAAGGGTAAAATGTTTTAATTGTCAGAAAATCAGTCACTTTAAAAGGGATTGTCCTGAAAGAAAGGCCGAAACACTAGTAGTATCGAGTTTGGAAACTTAAGATAGTTTGGTCATTGACTCAGGTTACTCTTATCACATGTGTCTAAGAATAGAATACTTTGAAACTTTGAAGATGGTGCAAGGTGGAGTAGTTCACCTTGGTAATAATAAGGCATGCAAGGTTCATGGTATTGGTGCGGTTAGATTTAAAATGTTTAATGATTGTGAACTTCTTATTCACAATGTGAGGTATGTTCTAGAACTCAAGCGAAATTTGTTATCTATAAGTATGTTTGATGGTCTAGGCTATTGTACTAGAGTTGAACATGGAGTGTTGAAGATTTCGCGTGATGAATTAATTATTGCTAAAGGGTCTAAAATATGTGGTCTATATATTTTAGAAGGTTCAAATGTTATTATTCATTCATCATTAACTAGTGGAGGCTTTCATGACAAGGAAGAGCTATGAGATTTGAGTTTAAGGCATTATGAATGCCTTGAGAAAGTTCTAGAGGAGTACAATGAATTTTGCAGAAATCAAGGGATAAAAATGCATGTTACCGCTGAGTTGTTATTGAGTTTTTGGGGAAGAGTTTAGGTTAAAAAAAATTACTTGGTTGGTAGAGAATTTCTTCAGAAGAAGAATAGTGAAAACCAAGGGAGAAACCTGGGAGAAACTATAACGAAGAAAACTCAGTTTGAGGTGGAGTTTCATACTATGAATGCTAGCAGTAGTGAGGGAACGGTTACAAAGATCTATGATTATCATTTGATTCATGATAAGATAAGGAAGGTTATTGTAGCATCTCAAAGGGACGGTTATGCTAGTCTTGGATATTATGTTTTTAATGTGGCAGAAGGACTGCAAAATAAAAGAAGAAAAACCTTCAGGGAGGCATTTGAAAACAGGTGGAGTCAAGGGTGGTTGAAAAATCATACTTGTAGGCTTATTAAATTACCTAGGCAGAAAAGGGTAATTAGGAACAAGTGGATGCAAGGGTGTTTGAATTCAATCAAAGTTATTGATTAAAGTTTCAACTTGGTAGAGAGCAGCAATGTTGTTGATTGATATCAACATGGTTTAAAGTCAAAGTGGAGATTATTGTAAATGTGCTTTAAAACCTTTGTTGATGAAGGAAATAAAATATTTTAGAGATTGCATTTACCGTGAAAATCGAAAGTTTTATAAAGTCGGACGAGAAGTCAAAAAAAAAAGGAAAAAAATCGGTCGGTGAATAGTGACATATGTACAATAAATAGTATCGTCCGTACAATGAATAGTATCGCCCGTACGGATGAATAGTGTCGTCCGTACAATGAATAGTATCGTCCGTACGGATGAATAGTGTCGTTCGTACGGTAAATAGTGTTTTTGAGTTTTCAAGCTTTTTTCGATTCGGTCCATGGATCCATGTGATTTTAAGCTTTGTTTGTTGGATATTTGCTATTATAAATATGTATCTCTTGTATGTTTGATGTGTGACAATCTTACATTTTTCACCAACAAGGGAGACCAAGAGTTTAAAGGTATAGCATAGGATTTCAGCTATGCACAAAGAAAATCTTGGATTACCCCTTGGGTTTGAGTGATTCATATATTGAGAGTTGGAGAGGTAGAGAAACACTTGGGCGCCTTCAGGGGTGTTCTTGGTTGAAGGCGAAGACTATTCTCTTGTAACTCATCTGTAATCTCTTGTAACAACTTTCTGAGTATAATGAATTGGAGAGTTGCTCTCTCCTCCAAAGTAGATCGTTTGATCGAATTGGGTATACAAACCTTTGATTATTTCTTGCCTTATTCTGTTATATTATCTATGTACGAATTATTATTGCTGAAGGCCATTTATTTTGGTTGCTATTGTTCTTTACCTCACAAATTGATATTGAATTTTGTCGTAATTCATAACAAAATTCACAACATAAACTATACTCAACTTATACATTCTATTTTGATATCAAAGTATATCGATTGGTCCATGTGTCACTCACTATTTATATCCATGCAATAATATTAAGAGTTTATATATTAGTAACATCCTTGACTTTATAAGCCAGTTTGTTAGCATGACTTAAGTCAAATTTTATTTCTAATAAAATAAAATATCGATTCAATTATTTTTTATCAACTTTTTCTAAGGTTTTTTATGTTATAGAAAATAAAATAAAAACAAGATAACAAACTACTAGGAGAAAGCTTACATACTATAAACGAATAGCACAACACTTGATCATCCATTGAGAATCACCTAAACTAAATCTTATTTACAATCATGATAGCATAAGCTTTAAAGAGAACTCTAAACTCATGTGGATAAAATTTGATGAATGTTACACATAAATCAATATTCATCAACTCCTTAATTCAATATGCAGATTGCACAACTTTGTCATGTTCAATTCAATACTTCTCATTCATACTTGGTTGATATTAGCCATGACATTGGAAGATGAACAAGACAGTGCTGTATGATGATGAGAAGGCCATGAAATTCGTTCCGGACGACACGGTACTGGCGCGGGATGAGCAATGAAAGTAGGAATCTCATCTCCAGGCATTAGAACTGAAACCCAGCTAGTAAAAATACTCATCTGCATAAAAAGATCAGAAATTTTGGTATCTAGTTGTTCTGAAATCAAAGTTATTTAATATTTTAGACCAATATAAAAAAGGACATGAAAGTAATTAAATTAAAGTTTACAATACAAGATTCAATAGGTACAAAAAAATTTTTACAAGTGGATCTCACTTTTGAATATTATTATATCAAAGAAATGAAAAATAAAAACATCATATTCATATAATATAATCCAACATTGTCAATTTCTCTTTTCTTTAAGTCTAGTCATGTTAGATAAGGCACCAACATCATCTAACATCAAATCAAATATTTGACTTTGAATGTATATATATAGTAAATAGTATTTATATAAAGGTGTTAACAATATAAAACTTTATCAGATTTCAGTTAAATCGGTAGTTATGCAAAAACATCAGATGCATGATCGCGAGTTTGAATCCGCACTTGTTAAACTATTTGATAAAAAAAATAAGAATCGCATAGTGAAGGCCAAATCCAAAAGCATGTTCTTTATTCTCATATTCTCAATTCCATTAATGTAACAAAAATGCCAAACATCTAAATTATTAAATTCTATATAATTTGATTAGGAGGATTAGCATTCAAAGAATCATTGAACCATTTCTAATACTAGAAGAGAACAATTACTAAATTTGTTAAAGTTGAGTGAAACAATTCAAAAGACAATGTCCCAATCAATTAGTGTCCTCTAGATTGAATAAGTGGGTGGGCCTAATGTGTTCCTCCAAAGAAATAGCATAGTGTAGACATCACAATTGTTGCATGGTACTAGCTCATCATACAATACAATAATGCAATTAATAAATAAACAATAGCCATGAAGAAAGGATAAGAAAGAGTATATAATAAGATCAAAATGTTCATGTTCATGTACGGTATCTTAAGAGATTTGTGGTGATGTAAGGTAGCACATGAACATGAAGGACAATGTGTGGGTCTAAATCATATAGTACTAGTATTTAATCATTCTAAGTTTTTATAGGACCATGTAGATCAGTCACAATTAGTATAGTCAAACACGAAATTTTAAATAGGATCGACCGGCTTGTTAAAAGATCGTAAAACTCTGATCGTTGGCCCAACACATAAAATCTTAGAAAAGGGGAAAATAATAGTTTCATAATACTTATTGACACACATACACGAATATGAAAATTATAATTCAAACCCAAAAAAAAGTTTAGCATGTTTTTTTTTTATGATATTGCTTTAAAAAACTCGATCTTAACCACAATAGCGAGGAAAAGAATCCATTTTTAATTGTAGCACTTTCAGGCACCTGATCTTAAGATAGAGTACTTGATCTCGACTACAGAGAACCACAATTCAATGGTGACAATAAATACTAAACTCTAATCAACCATAATATATAACCACAAATTTTGTATGATATCATATTTATCTGTAATTTAATGGTGACAAATATGAGACTCTCTACTAGTAAATGTAAGTGAAATGTGAAATTATATTGGTGGGGTTATTTATGATGGATAGATATTTTAAGCTCATTATAACCATAAACATTTTAAAAAGTTGGTCACATACTAAATTAAGATTTGACAATTGACAAGGTTTTTAACCTCTTTCACCAACCAATTGGGAATTGTGGAATAATCATGAACATAATCATGACAAAATGAAGAACATCTTAAACATATGAAAGTTTGGGAAATTTAAGAATGAAAGAAGAACAAACAACCTTAATTGTTAGGCCAACATGAAAAATAACATATAAAACAAAAAAAAAATCAAGAAAGAAGATACTACTACTACTACTATAACTGTAATGAATGAAGAACAGTGAAAGTTTTTGAACTATACATGGAAGAGGAATTCATGAAAAAACACAAAACAGAACAAAACATGAAGAAAAAGAAAAACAATTAATGAAAGTGAGAAATAAAAGCAAGCAACCTAGAAACAACAAAACATTTTTGTCAGATAAATAAATTCACAAAAAATGATATTTTTAGAATAAAAAAACTCACTTTTGGTGATGGGTGGCTGAGTTTCCTCATCGGAGACTCAACGGCGCGACGGCTCCGGCGACGGTTAGGAAACAAAGCTTGTGAGGAAGGAGCTAGAAACCTCTCAAAAATAGCCATGAGTAAGAACATGGAAATAAGAATTGCAGTAGCAACAAAACCAAAAGAGACAGCATTAACCGAACTATCGAAACTATTATTGTTGTTGTTAGTCCAATGTTGTTGTTGTTCATCTCTCTGTACATTTAGTGGGGCCCCTATAGGACTCCATCCATTATCAACAACATGCTTCTCTGTTCCTAGTACCATTACCATCACTGTTCTTTTTCTCTTTTTTGTTTTCCGGTTTTACCCTTCTTCTCTTACCATAATAATTCACCTTTGAGCTCAATTGCAACAATTAATAACTCTATATCAACATCTTCTTCTTCTTGTGAACAGAACAGAACAACTCTGTTTTGTAAAAAAACAGAACAACACTTGTGGCAGTAAAGTACTATGATATTGTTTAGAAACAGGTTGAGATTTACCACTATTAAAGCTTGTTCAGAGAGAGAGAGAGAGAGAGGATGTGGGTTGGAGTGAAAGGTGAAAAAAAGAGAACTTTGGAATTTGGATGATAGGGCCCTCTGTTTGTCCTCTGTTTTGAGGAAAACGATAAAAACAGAAAAACAACAGGGGTTGAAATTTTTTTCATCTTTTGCTTTTGCTTTTTGGGGTTATTTTTTATTTATAATAATTTTTTAATTTTAATCTTGAGTTCGTACTATCTTCGAGGGAAGGGTAAAATAATTTTTTAATTTTAAAAATTGAAAATGAAGTAAACTGTTTGGAGAAAAACAAAAGAAGAGTGACTTTGTTGCTCATTTGGATGTTGGAAATTGGAAAGGGTAGTTTAGTAGCTTATGTTTACCATTTGCACGGCAATATCCTTGAGTATCTCTAAGGTGAGTTGTTTATTTACAAGTTTTGTTAATAGTAGTAGCTACACTTCTAATAAAGTACTTATATATATTACTATTTGATATGTGTTCGTATTCCACGTTAATATGTGTTATGGACCTTCCACAAAACTTAAACGCTTACATAATACTAGAAATGAAGATCTTAATATTCTTTAGATTAGATGATCTCAGTCTTTAGTTCATTATAGACCGTTGAGATCAATTAGATAGTTTCTGAAGTGATACGTTGTATTTTACGTGAAATAATTATAACGGTCTTGTCTTTGCTATATAAAAAGAGAATGCTTCATTTACAAGTAACTCAAATTTATTTTCATTATTTATTATTTCTTATTCTTTTATTGACTTGAGTATTGGAGTGTTAATTTTACAGGTATACTTTACACACTTGAAAGCTCAAGCACCACATCATAAGTCCAATTACCAATCTATTTCACATTATTAGTTCCATCGCGAAATAGTGGTGCCATATGTGGGAATCAACTTTTGGTTTCTACGAACCTCAACAAGAAACCTTCCTTCTTACATCGAAGATTTATCTCTCAAATCTTCGGTTGTCGAGTTATTGATCTCCTCGCCTAAAATATAAAATTTGTCATCTCTTACTATGGTCGATTCCAAGTCCACTAGATCTGCCAAGGCTGCTTTCTCCGCAACAGCGAAGGCAAGCAGGAGTCATCATCTTCCTCGTCCTCTTTCAAGATTGGATGATCAATTATTGGTAACTTCGCCATTAAATCTAATTGATTCTAACGTGATTCTTCAGAGAACCGTTCAAGGAGTTTCTCAACTTTTCCCAGTTTCTAATATAATGAATCATTTGGACTAATTAGGTTGCCTAATCAACCTCTACCTCAATCTTTGATGGTTGCATAAGAGATGTTACCTGGTATCCAAGTGTTGTAAGCAAACTTAGGAAATTTCACTCCTCCATGTGGAAGCACTATGCGCGAGACAACTTCACGAGGTCGTCCTATAGCCATTCCAGATCCAACTCTAGCCAAGCTCCTGCGGTACACAAAGAAATTCCACATTCTCCCCGGCCTCATGGGAGCGGGAGGCACCAGACTCTTCTCCTGGCTTATTATAGTGTGATATGGCAGAACAACCATTCAAATGGTACTATTAAAAGGTGTATACGCTACTATAAAAAAAATAGCCTTAGATGCGAATGAGGTTTAACCTTGGTTACATAGTTGAGGTAATGATGGACGTCATGAAAACTGGAGGGTAAAGTGTTATGCACATGGGTTCGATCCTCACCTATTGCATTTTTATCATTTTCAAAATTGGATGGCGCGACCATCATTTTCTCTTGATTATCAAAAAAACTGACGCAATAGAGAAGTATTATTACCTTGGTTTATAATAATAACAAAGGGGAAATCATTGTTATTTAACTTTTTTTCTTCTATATTTTGGTTTGAACCTGTATTACAAAATCATATTTTGGTCATTTCTGAAACAAAAATATTGTACCTTATGTCAATTTCTCAAACAGAAAAAATTGTACCAATTGTATTCATTATTTACACCATTTGCAAAGCCAAAATGGCACACATCTTATAATTTTACAACAGATTAAAACTAAAATAAATAATTAACCAATAAAAGCAATAACCAAAATGTAAAGTTTTATAGGCCGTCCAAAAGTTATCTTTTGTAATTTGTCATCGGTCGTTAATTAAACACTTATAATTTGAACAACATTTGAAATCAATTAAGATCATCAACAACAATAATATTAAATCTTTAGAAGAAATATTATAAAAAGTAAAATGAATAAATATGTATTACTAAATGATATAAAACATTTACTTACTAGTTTTCACATATCTCATCTTGATGATCACGACGAATAGCATACAGATCATCTGAATCATTTTCTTCAGATGAAAGACATACACGTGTTGCGAAAGAAGGAACCTCAAAATTTAAATCTTGATTTTTCATCATTATCAAGAATATATTTTCCTTGTAGAACAATTAATCATCTTGTGTTAGAAGGATTGGTGATATAAAAAACTTGTTTTGCTTGGGATGTCAAGATGAATGGTTCTTTCTTATAAGTTGCTTTTTGAAGATCAACTTGTGTGAACCCTAATTGATGGTTTCTACACCAGTGTTACTGTCAATCCACTTAAATTTAACTAAAGGCATTTTTAAAGTAACATAGTTAATCTCCAAAATCTCCTCAATGACCTCAAAGTACACTTTAGATGCTAGTATATGATTGTTATCTTTGGAACTAGAGAAGTACATGGATTCAACTTCAACCATAACTCCATTATTTTTCATGGTACTATGATCATCCTTTGATTTTGTATAGAATGAAAATTTAGTAATGTCATATGCACTCCAAATTATTACATTAAACTTAGGCATATGTAAAATATATTTAATTGTCTCTAATTCACTACTCTATTTAGAAACTCTTTCATTAAATCAAGTTATGAAAGTTTTTTTTATGCTCTATCAATAACATTTTTTCACTTATTCGGAGAAATTTTTCCTTTATAAGACTTTTGTGAGCGGACAAGTAAGGTTGAACTTAATCAACATTATTCAATATATACAAATATGTTTGAAGAACTACATCTCGGTCAAGTGTCTAAACATTTAAACCTAGAATATCTCTACAATCATATCTTCCATCATGACAAGACTCGGGAGTTCCTATAGAGTTCGCTTCTAAAAAATAGTTTGTATAAAACTCAATAGTTTCTTCTGTGATGTATCATTCAACGATCAAAGCTTCGGGACGATGATGATTCTTTGTATACCCTTTAAATATCTTTATGTATTGCTCTACCAAATACATTCATTGTAAATAAACTGGACCACAAATTATAATCTACCTTACTAGATGAACAATTAAGTGAACCATAATATCAAAAAATGATGGAAAGAAAAAAAAAAACATCTATGATAGACACAAGATAATTGCATCATCATGTTCCAACACAACTAAATTTCCAAGATCAATGAATTTACTACATATAGCATTAAAAAAATTAGCACAATCTGGTTATAATTACCCTTACATTTTTTGGTAAAATCCCGCGGATAGCCACTGGTAGAAGTTGTTGCATCAAGACATAAAAATCATGAGATTTTAAGCCAACTAATTTGAGATCTTTTATTGACAATTTTTTTTCAATTTTGATGAGCACCATTGGGGAACTTTGATACCATGCAAACAATCGAAAATACTTTTTTCTTTTTAAGACAGAGTGTGACATGCTAGGAGAAATATGTTATGTTTCCTATATCTTTTTGGGCTAACTCTTGTCGTATACCCATCACCACCATATCTTCACTAGATTTCTTAGTATCTTTTATCTTACCTTTAATGTTGAGAAGTGTCATAATTAAACTATTGTTAGATGCCCAATTTTGCTTATTTGAGCTATCAGATGTGGGCATCTTTCACTCCGTTTTGTCCAGAAAGTTTTCAAAATCGCCCTTGCTTTTGTTAAGTTGCAATATTTTGTGAAATGATCTTGGTACCTTTAATTTGTGCGTTAATGTGCAGAAATCAAGCATGAAAGAGTAGAATTGGAAGACACAAGAAAGATGACAAAGGAATCAAGAAAGAAGGCAAGGAAAAGCAAGCTCGCTAGGCGAAGCTCTAGCGAGAGAGGTGGCGAGTTGTTCGCTAGGCGATCACGTAACGAGCTACCAGCGAACACTCCCAGACTTGGACAAAATCAAATTGATCATATTTCACTAGAGCGAGGCAGGTAGAGAACTGCTCGTTAGGTGAGCACTCAGCAAGCAGGTAGCGAGTGCTTCCAGAACCAAAAGGACCTATACTCGCCGGAGCGAGTGAAGCAGCAAATGGATCGCTAGGCGAACCATTCTGCTCGCATAGCGAGCAAGACGGGACAACACTTTTCTTTCTATAAGTAGCAAGGGCTACTTTTTGTAAAATATTTTTTTCTCATTTTTTTCATTTTACTTTCTTTTGTTCTTGCTCCAAGGAGATATTTGTGACCTAGAAACCCAATATCACATTATTCTTCATCTCTTAACAAGATTTTCCAAAAAGAAGGTGGAGTCCCATCCAAACTCGATTCTTCGACTCGGATGTTGATCAACCTTCTCCCGAAACTTGTTGTGCAAGCTACCATGAAAATGAGTAGCTAAGTCCTTCATTTTATCAAGGTTAGATGTAGATGATCATAAGCTTTGTATGTAAATGGGTTGATCTTCATTTGTAAACTCTTTGATGATGAATGTATGGTGAAAGCCTTGTTTTATTGTTAACTCTTTGTGTTGGTTTATTATTGAAAGGTATTTTCCAACTCTTTACCTAGGTTTTCATCCATCTATGTTCTTGAGCTAGAG